TCAGCTCTTTGCCGTTCAGTCAGAGTACAAATGACAAATATCTAATTTGATTTGCTGCAGCATACAACTAAACCAGTGCCAATGATGTATCTGAGTGATAAATTTAACTGGACCTACATAGAATCAGTACAGACTGACGTTCTTGAGCTTCCATATGTCAATAATGACCTCAGCATGTTTATCCTGCTACCAAGTGACATCACCGGCCTACAAAAGGTAAAGCAACTGAGAACATAAATCATGTGAAAAAACAAGAGTGTCATTGTTTACTTATTTTATGCATGTGTGAGGTAAAAGACCAGATTGCAGCCATGTTTCTAGGAAGGAGGGTACTGATCAGGCTCAAGGAAAAGCAAACCCCAAACTTGGTCTAGCACTGTGAACTTGAACCTCTTGGAGCGCAGACTAGACTTCTTACTCTTGGCAGCTGGTTCATCAGTCCTGGAAATAGGTAACCCAAACCCTATAAGACTGGCTCTTCTTCCAGCTGAACAAAAATGAGGGCAAAAAGCCAGCCCTGCTGAGATGCACTGTTTGTACCGATTCAGACAGATAGGATTTCATTAAAAAAACCCCAAAACAACACAAATTGGACAGCCTCCATTACTTTCCAGCAAGTCCAGAGCTAATACATATGGACACTGCCACCTTCTGTAAAGAGATGGATCCTACCTTTGGATAATAAACTCAAATTCTCATTTACATTAGTGGGTGTTCTGTAGAAAAAAAGCTCTTTTCAGTAAATTCTAAAACATAGGGAAGACAGAAATGTGAACAGCAAATCAAACAGACTATTTTTACTTGACACTGATGTTTTTGTTCTACAACTATTTAACCCTGCAATATTCCCTGAAAATTACTGAGAACCGTTCAAATACTACATTGACTTACTGTAGAGCAACATACTTTAGTCAAAAAGATCTCCAAATTGGTCTTTCACTACTGGTTTTTTTCATACTCTTACAACAGCTTGAAAAGTTCTCCATTTAAGAAAAGAGAAGAAATAGCCCTTAGGGCACAGGTTTTTGAACACTCTGTAATTTTCTGATTTTCTTTTTACTAACTGCAGCTAGAAAGAGAATTGACTTTTGAAAACTTGTCTGCATGGACCAGCCCAGAGTTAATGGAGAAAATGAAAATGGAGGTTTATCTGCCCAGGTTCACGTTAGAAGAGAAATATGACCTCAAATCTACTTTGAGCAGGATGGGGATACAAGATGCCTTCACTGAAGGTCAAGCTGATTTCACAAGAATGTCAGAGAACGGCGAGCTGTTTTTGTCACAAGTTTTTCACAAGTGTTATCTGGAAGTCAATGAAGAAGGCACAGAGGCAGCAGCTGCCAGTTCAGCAGCACTGGCATCACGAAGTCTTGGTGCTACTGTTATTTTTGCAGCAGATCACCCTTTCCTCTTCTTTATCAGGCACAACAAGACCAAGAGTATCCTCTTCTTGGGAAGGTTCTCTTCCCCCTAGAAATTTGACTATCACTAAACAGGCCCTCGCAACAACCATAATGAACAAAATACACACCACGAAGAGCATGTCCTGGTTTTGGCTGGGATAGAGTTAATTTTCTTCCTAGTAGCTGGTATAGCTGTGTTTTGGATTTAGGATGAGAATAATGTTGATAACACTCTGATGGTTTAGTTGTTGCTAAGTAGCACTTACACCAGCCAAGGACTTTTCAGCTTCCCCTGCTCTGCCAGGTGCACAAGAAGCTGGGAGGGGGCACAGCCAGGGGGGCTGACCCCGACTGGCCAAAGGGCTATGCCACACCATATGATGTCATGCTCAGTATAAAAACTGGGGGGAGTTGGCTGGGGGGCAGCGATCGCTACTCGGGGATGGGATGGGCGTCGCTTGGCGGGTGGTGAGCGGTTGCATCACTTGTTTTTCCTGGGCTTTGTTCCTCCCTTTTTTTTGTTGTTTTCCTTTTCACTACAATTTATTGTTGTTGCTGTTATTATTATTATTATTTTATTTTATTTTTTTATTTCAATTATTAAACTGTTCTTATCTCGACCCACGAATTTTCTTACTTTTGCTCTTCCAACTCTCTCCTCCATCCCTCCAGGGTGGGGAGGGTGACCGAGCAGCTGTGTGGTGCTTAGTTGCTGGCTGGGGTTAAACCACGACAAGCATCTCAATAGTCTATGCACTACTTCTTCATTTTCCTGTACTGTTGACAAATCTCTCAAAGTTAGAAGAAAGCATATTAAAAATAACCTGGAATTCAAGCTTTTGGCTCATTTTCCTAGCCAAAGAACCCAAAAATGGTTAGCACTACACTGTAAGTACCAAACTGTGCACAGAACAACATTGATGCATCTTTTCAGCACTTTCTGAACCAGAACTGTCACAATGCAGAACAGACTAAGTTGATCTAGAACAGTAATTCCCAACACACTTGCTTTGGTACATAAGAAGAAAACAAACAGGAAAAACTCCTTCCTGCAGAACGTTGCTGCATCTCCATTGGTTTCAGCTCACTAAGCTGGTCATCCTAGCAGGGCTACCTCACCCACATTCTTGTCAGTTTTATACCAACTTTGCAGGCTGGCATAGCTGGTAATGAAATAAACCTGCATGCAAAGGGGCTAACACATATACTTTCTAATCTCCGTCCCACAGCATTTGGAAAATATTGGACAATATAGAACTGGAGGAAAATAAAACATATGTGCCTTGAAACCTTCTCTTTTGTAACCTTTCATGCATTCAACGCTGTTGCCAGCCCAGCACTGCACTGCTTTAGTCTTGTTTTGCTTTGTCACTTACTTCACTGGTTTGAGGCAAGATCAAATTGGAGAATCAAGCCTGTAATACTAACTCCCTAAGTGCCTTCTGGAAGATTACATGCAAATCCCCCAGTACACATTTACTCCTGTCACAGCTCTTTCTCCTAAGGAGGACAGTGTCCTAATCAGTCATGCACATTTGCAGGGGATGGTCCTTACTCTCTGAATTCAGAACAGAGAGTAAAGGACTGCGTCTCTTACAGGGCTTGACACACTGCCAGCATCTTACTAGAAATATCTCTTCTTGGGACAGCAGGACTCCTTTTTCCTGACCGAGAGGAGACTGCTGACTGTCGCTGAGTCCTTTCTGTTTTCTTCCACGTGACCAGCTGCTTCCAGGGTCCCTTCTGGCTCTGCTTCCCAAATGGGAAAGAGCACAGGAAAAGTGTTGTGAAGCCAGTGCTTTATTGTATCCTTGCACAACCTCAACAGCACTGCCTTCTGTCTGACTCAGCTGTGAAACATGACACAGGATCCCTGTGCATTCAGGTGCAATCCTGCCATGCCCTCCTTCACCTGATGCAAAGGCTTCACGTCCCCATGGCCAAGCCCCTTAAGCACTTCCTGATGTGCCTCAGGAATAAAGAGGAAAGCCACGCCTGGGAGGCCCAGGAGGAACAAAATCATGACAACATGCGCCCAAACTCACTCACAGGCCTTTAAAGTCAATGGAAATGTGAATCATCTTTTCTCTCTCCTTCAAGTATTTTAAGCATGACTGCCAAGATGACAGAGTTAATGTCCTCTTGGCAGTGACAGCTCATTACCAAGTGGCAATGGACACAGCACTTGAAGGGTGAGTTGCACATTAGGGAACAAGCTCTTCCCAGGGTAAGCACCACAGCACTGCAGAAAGTTGCCCAGAAAGGCTGGGGAATCTCCATCCTCGGAAGGGCTGTGGCTGACCTTATCTACTGATGGCCCTGCTCCAAGCAGGAGGTTGACCTCTGGATGTCCCTTTCAATTAACGTGTGCGATTTTCTCTCTCTTGTCAACAGCCATTCTGCCTTGCCACCTCCCTTTCTCATCCTGTCTGGCATCCTTGCATCTTGACTAGCAAAGGGACCTGGCTTGCTCACTCTCAGCACACTTCTTTGGGACTTGGAGTCTCCTGGCCTGGGCTTTCCCACCACCTAACCATTCAGCTGACCTATCTCCTATCCTGATTTCTGGAGGACTTACTCATTGTACTAAAACCAACACTTGTTTAATTTCTGGCATTTCTTCATTGCCTTGCACAACATTGATTTCTGCCACTTTTTAGAAGACTTGACCCACTCTGTTCCTGTAAGCAGGCTTGCACCAAAATGCTTAGCACACAGTAGAGTTTCCTTCCCTTCCTCTATTCCCCTTCCCCTGTCCCTCAGGGTCTTACAGTTCTTGCCACCACCTTCTTCTTCTTCCACCACCCAATAGCAGCCCTCTTTTGGGACTGCAGAGTGAAAACTACCGTGCCATGTTTGCCCCCATTTTATTTTTTCACTCCATCCTTGCTCGAGCCCATCCAGTGGGGTTGTTTCAGTCCTTGCCCTCCTTCACTATATGCAAGTACGGTGCACTAACTCAGTGTTTTACAGTGTTTCTCTCAAATGATTCCCAGCCATGGTTGCAATGAGATTTTTTCATCAACACAATCAGTGGGGTGTCTGTCCCTTACCCTGAATGGTTATTCATGGCTTTGCCTCTGTCTATGCTCCTAATGATCTTCAATCTGAAGCTGGACTCCCAGTGTCTAATTCAATCACTAAGCTTGACGCTTTATGCTGACGTACCGTATGTGAAACCCAGGAGTCACAGCTGCACAAAGTTGGAGAGGAGAGTCAGGACTACAATACCTGCTTATATCCAGAAACCAAAGCCAAGCATTCTAGTTGTGTAACCTTTTTACTAGTCATTTATTTTAAACAACAGACCAGTTGTCTCCACAACACCAGAAGACCATTGGAATGGGTGAACTGTTCTGCTATCCTGTCAGTAGACTATTGTACTGTAACAATAGAGCTAAGATTTTAATTCCATTGTCCTTTTGAAATGTCTAAAACTGAAAAGGGGCAAGGTCAACAAGGAGGACAAAATTACATAAGATCTTTTGGGGATTTGGTAGAAAGGAGCTTTGGGTAGGTGGAAACAACCTGGATGTAGGGGAGAAGGAAAGGGAGGTGCAAGCAGTACTATATTTCTAAATTTACTCATTGCTTAACACACAAACGCAGAACCTGACCGAGGACAAGACCTAAGTCTTCTCTCTCACGGGATCAGAGGTAAATATTTAAACCAATTTAAGTAACTTTTCTGATGCTTTTAAAAAGTGATCTGTGGCTTGCATGACTGTATAGGCAAATTATAATATACCAGTGTTATAGTGCCTCATGTTTTTCTAGATGTCAACCCTTAGAGAAAATAAATCTGTGATGCTAAGGAAAACTGATAATTCAGGGAAGAATTGATCACAAGAAGGAAAGTTTTCTTACAGCAGTAACTGTCTTATTAATGAAAATCTTCAGTTTGATAAAGGAGAAGAAAAGGCCATTTTCATTCTGCAAAGGCACAGCACTGCACATTATCAGGCCAGGAACTCAGAGGAGTATTCATTAGCAGAAAACAGAGAAATTTCCATCTGGGTGCTCTCTTGGTTGTGTTCTACAAGGAAAGAAAATCACTCTGTGGTACAGATTTGGTACTGACAGCACACTGACTGCCAGAAGAACTGTAGTCGTTTGGCAACCAAACACTTCATAAGCACCTGCAGACTTCAGAGATTGCCCCACAATTTCTGTAGCTCCATTCAATAGGTATAAATCTTAATTAATAATAATAATAACAACAACAGCAATAACAACAACAACATTTCTGGTCTCTTGACTGGAAAACAACATGAGGCAGGTACTACTGGGCAGATATCTTAAAGTCTGGAATACTCATAACCCCAAGATATCTGCCAGTTTCTAGGGAAAATAAAATTGCTGAAACATACAGAAGGGGTGGTAGGTACACATCATGAATAAAACTCCATCAATCTAAAAGCAAATAACAGCTTTGTTATTCATGATACTACTCAGAATAGGTGGCTGGCCAGGAAAAGCACATGAGTCTAAGAACTATTCCTAAATCCTTTCTCAGTATCAGCTCTCAGTTCTATACAGATGCAAAATGAAGTAGTGGGAAACTCAGGTGCCTTGTGAACCTATGTATTAAAACCACATTTAAATTCCCCTGGGAACATTATTTTGATAAATCATTAGTTAAGGATGAAAAGGAAGAAAAATATGCACCTTGCAAATCTGCACATTTTTGAAAACCGAAGGGAGAAAGAAACACAAAGAAAACTGCAGCTGTATGAAAGAGGACATATGTACAATTATAGGACAATGTTATCTGGGTAACAAAAACCTAAAAGAAATTGCTGCTCCTAACAGGTGGCAAACAGTATCTGTGTGGAAGATAAAACATTCAACTAGGCTATTAGTTTTAATGGGTGCCAATGCTTTGTGTTGTACATGTAACATTTCTCACTAATACACACGGTGTACATAATTTTAAACATTCAAATAGTACAATTCTGTCTGTTGCCTCTTTCCAGGTTGTAGCAATGGAACTGGTCTCAACATCAATTGGCATGTTTACGGTTGATTTTTTCAAAAAGCTGAATGAGAGCAACAAGTGCAAAAACATCTTCTTTTCCCCTTGGAGCATATCATCTGCTCTGGCTCTGATGTACCTGGGTGCAAAAGGCAATACAGCAACAGAGATGGCAGAGGTAGGTTGTTCTTTGAAGGACACACCCCATACAACACCTGGCTCCCGTACTGGCTGCGAAATTTAGTGTTAGATAGAAAAACTTGCCACCACAATGACAACGAACCAAGGCAGACCAGAGAATGTAACAAGTGAACCATAAATTTTATTCATTTCATAGCAGGTCCCCCACTTCTCCACTAAGAGAAAGCATCCTGTGGGTATCACACGCTGAGCACAGAGGTTCTCTGAACCTGACTTCTATATTATTCTACACCTTCTAATTTACCCTGTGATTCTATGACTCTGTCACAGATGGGATATTCCCTTTGAGAAGCAAACACCTGATGCCAGTAGCTCCTAACTAATAGTCAGGAGGCTTGCAGATCCCAGCACCCTCCCTCTCTCCCCTGGCCAGGATGCATCTTTCTACCTTGATTCATGCTTTCCTAAACAACAGCCTAACAATCCAGCAGGAAAATAGGAAGGGCTTTGATATCTCCACAACCCCTGAGCCAATCCTTCCTAATGCCACATGGGCACATTGCTGGCTCAACGGGAGCTGTGGTGCTCAGCACTGCCCGGCACTCTCCTCTGTGTCACCGCACTCCCGTTCAGATGCCTTTGTACCATTATGGCAGGGAGAACCATTTGGGTTTGCACAAACACATTGCTATTGCTGAGAGCAACAGCTGTGGAAGGGAGTTCAGCCTTGCAGCGTGCAGACAGGAGCACTGCGTCGATGCTCTGGGAGGGGGACAGTGATACTCATTGTTACTCCGTGGGATTTATGTATACTACAGCTTCGGCATCCCTTTGATTAGTCACCTAAGCAGCAGATAGCACAGCGCATTATGCAGAGCAAACCAAGACAACCCTTTGATCCCCATTTGGCTTTAAGTCACACCAGTTCCTTCATGCCTATTTCTTACCTTTGGAAACTCTGCTTGCAGGTTCTTCATTTCACTCAAGCAACAGAAGCTGAAGGCTCTTCTTCTGTGGCCAGACCTCAGGGGAGAACAAAGAGAAGAAAAATGGTATCTATTAGAACTGAAATCCCAAGATAAAGAATCTCCAGAATCAAAATGTCCAGATACAGCTTTAGGAACCCAGTATTTCTTGTCTGCACGCCTCTTTAAAGTACAAACCCCAAAATACTTCACAACAGGTTCAAGTTCAGTTCCTTTCACTCACTCAGACTCTGAGCAGCATGGAAGGACAAGTCACTGGGGTAGTCTGGAAGGTTTGCTATATGGCAAATCAGTTAATCCAGTCATAAACAGAGCCCTGCAAATTGCAGTGATGGTAAACTTGGAAAAATAAAGAGAGAGAGGAACCCAAATCCCTCTCCCACATATATCACTTAGCACGTTTTGAAAACTTCACGCTAAAATGCAATTGCTGAATGTATGGTTTCTCTTTCCAAGGATCCTGAGCACAAGCAAGCTGAAGATATCCATTCTGGCTTCAAAGAGCTCCTGACTACCATCAACAAACCCAGAAGCACCTACTCACTGAGAAGTGCCAACCGTATTTACATGGAAAAAACCTTCCTATTATTGCCAGTAAGTTCAATCTCAGAGAGGAGTAAGAAAAGGTGCAAAAATATTTCTCATTTTAATTACTTGTCATTAATAGAACAGGTTTGAAGCTGACTCTGAATACTGTAAATGAAGAAGCCTGGATTCCAGTGATAAACTTAACTGGAAAATACCCGTCAGTATGCTCACAGGGTGCATTGCCCTTTGACTGTAGTGTAGGGATTCCTTTTCCATGGTTTTATTATTGGAACCCCCAATACATACAATTGTAAATGAGACATTAAAATAAGGGAATTTTCTGTCCTTTGGTTATTTCTTAACTGTTAACTCACAGTCCAATGGAGAGTAACAAGCAAGATCCTGCAGTCCTCTAGGCCCAAGAAGCTACCAAAAAGTCCAAGAACTAACAACTTCCCTTTGGGACTGAAAAATCCAGTATAGTATAGAACTTATTTCTTTTTGGGTTTTTTTTTGGGTTTTTTTGCTGTTTTTCAGAGATACCTACAGCTCAGTAAGAACTACTACAAAGCAGAGCCACACAAGGTTAACTTTAAGACAGCACCGGAACAATCCAGAAAGGAAATCAACACTTGGGTTGAAAAACAAACTGAGGGTAAGCTGAGCTCAACCCCAACATCTTTCCTCTCCTATTAAGTCAGCCTGCCGTTTCCTCTGGGCAGGTGCCCTTGCTTCCCCACGTGCTACTGCAGCAGCCAGGTCATGCCTTCCAAAGCGGACAGTGAGCAGAGATGCAGTGGGAAGACCGAGAAAAAGCAGCACGCTTAAGCAGCTTCAAATACCTGATCCAGACCTCAGTGAGCTCCTTGGAGAGACTCCCATCGACTCCGCTGTGCTCTGCATCAGCTGGTCCTCAAGCACAACTGCTGCCCTGGCGCTGTACCCATGCACCACAGGCAAAGCAGACAGAGGGGAGAAACACCTCTGCTTACCAGTGTGCTCCAAGGCGGGTGGGGATGCCTACCTAGCTGTACCATCCTGCACTGGCCAGAGTACCTTTTACCTGGTGTAACCAGCTGGTGAGGCAGTATATGGCTTTCTGCTTCTAGCTGTGACATTTTTTGGGGAAGGAGTCAATCCCTGTCAGCTAGCCAGGAGAACTGGGCAGCGAACAGCTTTGGAAACTGTAAACAAACTAATTGATTTATGTCAGGGGAATATTTTAGGGAGTAGGGAACTGAGGCATGGACTTTTTCACTGAGGAGTTGAATTGAAAGAAAAAACAATCAAAACATGTCCTCATGCTACACTGGAATGAAACCTGACTCTTCTGATTTCAAAAGGCAAAATCAAGAATTTCCTGACTTCACGAGATGTGTCAAATTCCACCAAGCTGATCCTGGTAAATGCCGTTTACTTCAAGGCAGAATGGGAAGTGAAATTTCAGGCAGAATATACGAATCTGGAACCCTTCCGACTGAGCAAGGTAAGCTCCTTCCATATCCTTCCTACCGTAAACAGCCTGGTGACAACAGCTACTGCTGAAATCTTCCCATTTCGTAAGTCTTTTAGGTACCCCTGTGGTAACTAGACTCTCTGTGAAAAGCTGGTTACATCAAAATGTGTCAGTGCTCAGCTCACTGCAACATTAAGATGCTGCTCACGTAAATGTTAATGAGCTCCAGATAACAGCTACCGTTTCCAAAAGCACTGGAGTCACTTAAGACCTTTTTATAAAACAGTGCAAAAAGGGCTAGATTGTAAAAATGTGATTTTGAGAGTCCAAGCTTCATGCACAGGAACTACATGCCATTTTATGTGTGAGTACAGTACTTGGGCCTCTGTGCTGTGCAGCCTAGATAGGCGCAAACATACTTGCTCAAATAGAGCTGCAACAGGGTACCCTGAATGGGTGCATGGTTGGGCAAGACTAGCAGAAATGTTAATGGCATGTGTCTAGAAGAGATGTCAATGAATTCACATCAAAAGACAAGAGCTCTGTGCAATTTCCACCAACTGTAGCTTCTGTCTTCTGATTAGCACTATACATCAGCTGCTTCCCTGAATGAAGGGACGTAGATGTTAAGAGAGGTTACATACTCCTGCAAAGGTGACTGCTAGCCAGGAACTCCCCTCATCATGAGCCCCTTTGCACAGACGTTAATATTATCTTCTGTTAATGGTTGTGACATAAAAAGCAATCAGCTAGTCACTTCTTCTTGCCAGAGAGAGGAGACCACAGAAAAACTGCACAACACTCGCCTTCTTAAACCACAGCTGTTTCTCTGTTGTAGTGTTGTAAGGCTGTATCCCATACCTGCTCTATCCCCCAAATCCTTGCAGACATTTCTAACTCTCTTCCTCCCTCCTCTGTGGGCTACTGTGCACGTTTTGGGGAGAAGAGAAAAATCAGTCAGTTCAGCCTCCAACAAAATGCTCTGGGACAAACACCAAGATAAGCAATATCCTCCAGTCAAGAAAAGCTTTGGAAAATGAATGACAAATCACTGTTATAAAAGCTGCTTACAAAAGTTTCCTCTCCCTCCACTGCACTGAGTCATCATCATCCTTCCTTTAAAGGAATGATTTCTTACTTATAAATAAATACTTTACAGAACAAGACCAAGCCTGTGAAGATGATGCACATGAGACATACATTTCCACTTCTCATCATGGAAACAATGAATTTTAAAATGATTGAGTTGCCGTATGTGGAACATGAACTCAGTATGTTCATCCTCCTTCCCGATGACATCACAGACAGCACTACGGGTCTCGAACAGGTAAAAAAGTATGCTACATCCTTTTTGTACCACCACCCAGTCATTACAAAAAGGAAAAAGAAGAGGCTGGCAACCATGTCTCCCCCTCTGAGGACATGCTGTTTGATCTCCTCCTCTAGCTGAATTAATTTCCTTTAATATCTATCTAATCCCAAGAAAGTTCCTCCACACTGAGTGCCCTTAGTTTGGTAAAGAACTGAGACAGTCAACACTGTGCATAACCAGACGCTTAGCTCTTCAACAGCCCCATGATTGACACCCAGTCCTACATGATCTGTAAGGGTTAAACCTCCCTTCACTGCACATTCAGGAGGGAGAGTACTGCACAAGTAGTCATAGCCTCTTCCTGCAATAACAGACACCTCTTCTCCATGGCCTGGAAGTTTATTCACCATCTTGTTCTCATTCTGTTTGCATCCCCCCCTCCGCCCCCGCCATTTATTTGCTGTCTGAAAACCTAGGATTTTGGTGAGACTGCATTTGCTACAACAATGAGATCTGCCACTGTAGTTACTACAGTTGCAAGACTCTTAAATTCTTGGCGTCTATCATGTCAAGAATACCATTCATTGCTCTCCTCCATTTGATCTGAGCTGAACCCTGGTGACATAGTGTGCAGGTCACGGAATGTCAGTGAAAGATTTTGCTGGAAGCAGTTTGTTTTAAAATTGCCAAGGAAATACGTGCAATATTAACACCTCCTTCCATGGAACTGGACCAACCCACCTGGCACACAGCTGGCAATCTCCCAGCAATTTCCTTCACATCAAGACTGAATGAAAAGAGAGGAAAGAACTACCTCAGAGGATGGCAGCTGCAGGTGTTGAGTGCCCTGTCTTTCTTTTGCAATGAATTTGGCAGGGGTGGTGCTCAAAACCTTGCAGCATTAAGTCTCAAATGTTTGTTGCACACCCTGCCTCTGATCATCAGTAAAACCAATTTATATTTCATGCTTTCAGCTAAATGTTAAATTCACCATTTAAAAACTGTTTAATTCATTACATTGCCATAAAATTGATTAATTCATAATGAAGTAGTTGTTTTTTCCTTGCAAACATTAAATTCCTTCTCTTTCTTAAATGATAGCTGGAAAGAGAATTGACATATAAGAAGCTGTCGGAATGGACTGATTCCAAGAAGAAGACCGAAACTCTTGTGGATCTGTACCTACCTAAGTTCAAAATGGAGGAGAGGTTTGACCTCACAGATAGTCTGGTGAGCATGGGAATGCGCAGCGCCTTCGGCGGCAGCGCGGATTTCAGTGGAATGGCTGAGGAGGGTGGCATGAACATCTCCAAAATTCTTCACAAGTCTGTTGTTGCAGTTGATGAGAAAGGCACTGAGGCAGCTGCTGCTACTGCAAATGTCATATATACAAGTCCACCTTTTGACCATGCTCTGAAATTTAAGGTTGACCACCCTTTCCACTTCTTCATCAGACACAACAAATCCAAGAGCATCCTCTTTTTTGGCAGATTCTGCTCTCCCCTAGAACGAGTTATTACTTGCTCCCAGACAGCACCCAAGGTTCACTGTTCAACAGAGAAATATGAACTGCAGTGTTAAAAGCTCAACCTTAAGCCATGTAGCCATACGTACCGAAAGTGTATGTTCTTTTTCTTCCCCCCCTCAAGTAAGGCAGCACCCAGAGACCACCCTGTGCCTCAAAGACCATCCCTCTACTGCTTATTTCCATTGTCCTAATGAGACAGCCCTCCACAGAAAACAGAGTGCAGAATATTGCTCCCTTGCATCAAACCTGCTCTTCTGGCTTTGTTGTTCCGAGAGTAAGGTGGAGCCATAAAAGCTCTCTGCACACAGGCCATCATCTAGCCCCACGCTAAGTGCTGACTTCAAGGGAAATGCAGTTCATCCTCTTAAATATCCCAGGGAGGAAAAAAATCCCTGAAAGGAAAAAAAAGAACTTGTAGAAACCTATATGCTCTCTTTTCTTCACTGGGAAACCTGCATTTGCATTACAATGCAGTTTCCTTATGCTCATTTCAAATTTAAAGACTGTTGGAAATCAACAAAATTTAATACAAACCGAGAATAATCTCAAAATGCCCCTCACCTTCCCCTGTCTCACCGCATGTACACAGGCACATTACATTCATTCTCTCCTGGCCTTGCAGTTTCATGAAAAAATGAGGCAGCGAGGGAAAATGGTCCAGCTCTTAACATTTAATCGCTGGCTTCTAAACAGCTTGCATTTTTTTCTTGTTTTTCTAAACCTTGTAGGTTAAGGTTGCTGAGAGATCCAATCAGCAAAAATGCTAAGAAAACTATAAGCAACATGCTTCTTGCTACCTCTTACCGATATGCAATCTAAAACCTCCAGAATGCAAATCTGCTTCTTCTTTTTAATTTAACCTAATTATACCTGTTTCCTGGCTAATACCACCACAGTTTCCTTGCTACCTGTATCATTGATCAATGTATGATTTATGTATAGGTTTATGATGAATTATATAACTTGAGTGCATCTCAGCAAAGATAGTCATGGTATTGACAGAAACACCAGTGAGATTTTAACTGATGCTTTACTTCATAATTTTACTATGATCTGCATTTAATCCAATAAATGAACTTGGAGTTGTGTTTGTGTTATTTGAGACACTGACTTACCTGGTTCTCTCAGAGCACCATGTAAGGTGCGCGGCTGGAGCATGTTTCCATTCTTGCCATTCCAAATCAACCACCACATCATCCCGATCGACAAAGCTGACACACTTACTCTCTTATTTCCACTAGGCTTCAAACAGCCCCCAAACCACTGTTGTTCAGCATGTTATCCTAGGCATCTACTAAACATACCAAATCAAATTAAACTCTGTGATGAACAAGTTTTTGCTCACTGAGTCAAGGCATTCAAACTTTTATTTTTAAGCATTCAGTTTGCCATTTCTGACCACTGCTTCTTGCACTATCACCCCCCCAGGACCTACTCAGAACGCTTGTTTTCCTGTCACAATACACTAGAAAGAAAAAGTCTGACTACAGCTTATAGCCCAGAAGAGCAGCTTCCAAACACCCCTCTTCCCCATGTACAATAGTGAACAAGCAACGCTGCACTGGCAACATCAGTTCCCTCCGTTGGCTTGGGAGGGCAGCAGTTGTGCTTTCCTGTGGCCATGAGGAACAGCATAAAGTTGTGTAGCCGTTGTGGTACTCAGTAACCACATGGCAGAGAACATTATCTAAGGCAACAAGATTTGAATGCAGGACAGAGGTACTCTTTTTAGAGTTACTCTCAGCAAAAGTCCACCTATAAGTACAACTCACCCCACCTCCACAAAAGGTATTCTATTTGGAAATACATCTCCACTCAACAAAGTATACCTGCATCTCCTTCCCTGTACAAAGTGCTGCTTCTAAAATCAGTGTCCTCCCTTGCCTGTAACCCTCAGCTCAGGGTTCAGCTGCCTGTCATCCAGGACCTATGCTGGTGCAGCCCAGTTGTGTGCTATTGACTCAGCTTTACCACGAAGGTTGTTGTTTGGGTGTGGAAAAGCACAGATGTGAAGGCCATGCAAAATAAGAAAAGTAAAAACACAAACAGAGAAGTTATGGTCAGGGTGGAATAGTCAGCATAGCAGGGCTTTAGGAGGAGAAACACTTGCACGAGGAGGTATAAAATCTCAATTTGAAAAAAAAATGAAGAATTGGAAGACAACAATTTAGCAACACCAAGGCTGAGCCTCTTCTAGGAAGCAACAAAGGCCAGCCCTCCTCCACTTGAGTAATGCCTGGCCAGCAGGCTCATCAGGGTGATAAGCATCTTAATTCTTAGCCTTGTAGCATGTTAATCCTGTCTGCTGTGTGTATTCATCAATAAGCAATTACTGGGAACTCCTAAATTGTGTATATCCAGTTTGAAGAGTCACTTCATGTAAGAGCAAAAGTTGCCCAAAGAGGTGGGAAAAGTTCCATGCCAAACCAAATGAAAGGTCTTCCCACGCTAATTTTTGTGCATCCCCTCACTTACACCACACTTCATGGCTCTGCAAAGCAATACCTCTGAGGAACTACAGCATGGTGTCCGCCAGCTGGTGAGAGGTGCAAAGGGTCAAACAGGCTGGTTTTGGTACCAAGCTACTCCCAGTCTCAGCTTTCCTTGACAGATGATGCCAAAGAGCACACCTTCCAGTATAAGACGTACTTGGGATGCAGGTGAAAAGGGTGAAAGAGAAGAAAAGGAACCCATCCAGGGGGAAACACTCTTTAGAGTTCAGCTACTGCAAGCAACATTGGAAGCTGCTCCATTTGTGCCTCCCTGTACTATTTTCATAGTAACCAGTGTCTGGCTCTCAAGTCAGGCTAACCCTTACAGAACCACAGAATCACTAAGGCTAGAAGCGACCACTCAAGATCAACCGGTCCAATGGTCATGCTTCGTACTTCCTAGGCCACCCCTGGCAGTATCATTTGTGCCTACGTGGAAGAGCAGCAGGGGGAGGGACAGATGTGCCTCAGTAGCCTCTCCACAACATCCCGAATGCGTGCCCCTAGCAAGTAGCAAATCTACCCAGCTGACAAATCAGGTCAACAGATGTGGGCCCTGTCCCCTGCAGTTACTTTCACTCCTCACACTTATTAATGGCCTTTGAGATCTGGAAGGTGCATCTGCCAGTGCTGGAAGTTAAGAAAAGTTGCAAGTCTTTTAATTTCCATGGTTTCACAATTATTTCCCCCTGTTAGGTTGGAATACCACACTTGGATACAGCAAGGGAGGCAGTCCTGGCAATTTGAATTTCCAATGCAATGTGCTAACCATGCTTGCTGTTGCTGTTCCAGAAGGCCTGGGGGCTCCGGGAGGCGACAGGCTGGCGGGGACCAGGCTTGGATGGGGGAAGGGAAGAGAAGACAGATCTGGGGCAGAGCAGCTCCTACGCCAGGAACAGGTCATGGTGCTCCAATGCTCCTCTCAGCAAGGGCTCTCCCAAGCACTGTCCTTTCTCTCCTGTCTGCCACAAAGGGTGGCTTGATGCTTTTGAAAGACAGTTCCATTTTATTCTTCTATACTGGGGAAAATGCTATTTAATCACCTTTCTCAAATGCCCCAAGGTAGCCAAGAAATAGGTGCTACGTGACTGCATTTCCAAATAACTGCTTTCAAGAAGCCCTGGGTTTGTTCTGTATCATCAAAATTGGTAACTTCAGGTCCACAAACTCCTCTTTGAAAGGTCCCAGGACTTTGTAAACTAAAGAAACAAGTTTCTACAAGAAACTGCTGAGATAAGCCTCAATACAAACATATTGTGACCATGGACTGCTTGTCACTTAGTGACTCCATGCCTGTCAAAACACATTAGATTAACATGCTTTCAGTTTATCCTACAATGAAAGATGGGGATTTTTTCTACCAGTGCAAATCTCAGCTTCATAAAATAATCCCTGCCACCTCTGTGGTAGACTGATCTCATGACAAGCAGAAATGGCAGACACAGCACACAATAATAAAGACAAGAAAGCTTACAGTGCTGGTGTGCTGTTAGTATTCAAGACAAGGACACACAAAAAAACCTGCTTTAGAGCTGAAATGCAAATGGATCTGTATTTGTAAAGCTTTTATTTTGCTATCAGTAACAGGCACAAGAAAATCCCTTTTTAAATGTTATTTATAGTCCCACCCTTTAGAGTTCTATTGCAACAGATGTGATACTTGGTCTCATTTTCTTCCTGGGGGACATAGCTGAATGAGATTTCCTGCAGAGTAAAAATCTGTAACTGGACTTAGTCTAGCACTGATTGTAAATTGTGCTGCTTTTTACTAGGTGTAACTGAAAGAGAACTGATCTTCAAGAAATGCCCAAATGGTCCACTCAGAGAGGACCATTTACAGAGTACAGGTACGGGAGTATGACAATCAAACATGCAGAAAGATACAACCTCGCATCCATGCTGAGCAAGATGGGGATGAAAGATGGCTTCAAAAAAGGTCAAAATTACTTCATCAGTACGCCAGAGGAAAATGACTGGTTTTATCAAAAGACTTTTTACGACCATTTTTCAGAGGTCAATCCACTTGGTCAACAAGCCAAGCATTGTAATGCTGTGAAACCTTGTTTCTACCATTCCGGTTGCAGCAATTCACTATTTCCTCTCACTATTTCCACCTGGCACAGCAAAACCAAGAGCACCTCTTCTTTGGCCAATTTGGTCCCCTTTGAAACTCCACTCCCTCTTACTAAACAGGATCTTGCAGCAGCTGGAATATACCGCAAATAGTGTCTACACAGTTTGGGTACTCTTTCTTCATTTTCCTGTACTGTTGGCTCATCTTTGTACCTTGTAGTACCAGTAACTGTTGTTTGGGTTTTTTTCTTCTCCCACTCATTTACCTGAAAAACAGACAACAGCAGTTTCCAGATACATAGCAGAAAAATTTCTTAAGCACATAACTAAACATAATAGTGTCTAATACATTTCTGAAGCAAGAAAATAAGATGGATATTCCAGGCACAAAAACTGCACACACTTAAAAACAAAACGCGTGGGAAAAGAGAGGCACATCTATCACTCTTGAAACCTTGTATGGCATGTACCAGTCAGATTCGAAGTGA